TCCTACTCGATGCTTGGGCGGGCGGGGGTAAACCTTTAGATTGCTTACTAGGCACTCGTCATCTTTGCTCGAGACTTCAACGGAGTTTATGTTAGTAGTGGGGAGGAATTTTGGATGTTTGCAAAGTTGAAGCTCGCTGTTCCTACCCCTTTAAAAGGCAAACCGAAGTCTCACCCTAAGCTAAGTCAAAGCTAAACCCAAGCTTAAGCCTAGGCCTAAACCCGAACTTATGCTAAATCCGAAGCCAGCCTAAGCCCGAACATCATGCCTATGCTACCGCTCCCAAGCCTTCTTAATTTGCACGTTCCAGACTATAGCTAGCCTAACTATTTTTGTCATGCTGCTACATGTAATGCGCATGCATCGCGTAATCTAGACAAACCCTTGAAGAACGGCTAAATACCGACTCAATTCATAAACGAGCCTTGCCAGCCCCTTTACCGAAACGGCTGGATGTCCTCAGAAATGGAGCAGAAAGCGAGAGAGAGAGAGAGAGAGAGAGAGAGAAAGAGAGAGAGAGAGAGAAAGAGAGAGAAAGAAAGAGCGAGAACGAGAACGAGAGAGATAAAAATAGAGAGAGAGCGAGCGAGCGAGAGAGAGAGCGTGCGAGAGAGCGAGAGCGAGGGAGAGAGAGAGTGGGCGAGAGTGAGAGCGACGGAATTTTATGAGATGCTAACTAGAAGCGCTTGTTCCAGCCTGACCAAACTACTAGAAATCCGGCTCTCCGCTATTTGAAAACCATAGTTGCCTAATTTTATGTCATTTTTGCATACATCACCTGTTTTTCCTTAAACTACGGCTTTCCTATCCATCTCTTGTTATATCCAGCTAAAGCCTAGCAAAAAATCCGGCATTGTCTGTCTAAACTTGCTCATGCTTGATTTTAATGTATTTTACGATACCTAACGTATTTTACATCAAACTGCACTTTCTCTCCTCCTCGCAAACCACATATCTTGTTGTATAAGAATGATTCTAGGCTAAATATGTATTTTGCTATAGTAGCCGTTTAACATTAAAGCACACTTCACCACCTCCTACGCACCCTCGACCTCCTTCTTCCAACCCAAAACCATCCCCGACTCGAAAACGCGGATGTGAAATCTTGTGCAGCACTGCCCTGCCAAATATTTGCGTAGAGTTTATTGCTTGAAGCACAGCTTCTCCATCCCGAACGGTGCCCATTTCTAATAAATACTCCTTGGTGGTGCCCCCCTCAGCCCCAATTTGCTCATAGTGGGGAGGCCCAGGGGTCCATTGGGGAGGTCCGGATGTCGTCACGATGGTTGGTTGGTGCCCAGTGCTCTTTTGGGTTTATTCGTTCGAATTACGGAGGGTTTGGGTGGGTACTTTCCATTTTGAGGTTGTGAGTTGTTGTATAATGGAGGGATGAGGGGGGCGTTGGGGGTGAATTTGAATAAGTGGGTGATTATGATACGGTGGGTTGGAGATTGATGAGATGGCAGGCATTCAAGGTGTGGATCTTTGCTCTTGGTGAGGTAGGCTGTACGGAAAACTACATCAAACTACGGAAGCCAACTCGTACTAGATATCAGTACTTATAAGCCCCTTTTTGCGTATTTTGGCGTGGTTTGTAGCTGTCGATACCTATAATTTCAAACGTACCATAACGTCATTAGAATTACTTGGCGTTGTCAACACCTAGTAGAAAACATGGGTAGAACCTGGCACTACGAAGTGCCTGGAAGAGATTAGTACAATGGCTGATCTTACAGTACACTAGGTGGTTGACCTAGCGTTTAAAGTACCCGAACATCCTCGTCTTCCCAAAACTCGTTTCCTCGGTTTTACCGTACCCCTGAAGCCCAGTAGCGGTATAGTTCTACACATACCTTAGCGCCATTTGTTGTTCCTTGGAATTGTCGACACCTAGTAAAAAACAGGGGTAGAATCTGGTACTATCAAGTGCCAATAAGCGCTAGTGCCGTAGTTGATCCTACAATAGACCTCGGAGATCACCTAGCGTCCCAGGTAGCCTGTCGTAGTACAATTTTAACGACTCGACTTACCGTACCCCTTCAAGCCACCTACAGTACTACCCACTATAGCTACACCTCATCCGTATAAGAATCAATACCCCATCCACCTCCCATCCCCAGCCTTCATCTTCCCATTTGCCAGAAAGTCTACCCGAGATCCCATTTTCCCCCAGGGCCACCCTTTTCTGAAAGTTTCTCCATTTCGGTGTCGATGGGGACGTCAAAGGTCGGATGTTGGTGAAAGCGACGGCACCCGTCGCCAGTAATTATATCCAACCCCACAAAAAATTCGCTCCCCATCGCCTCGGGGCGAGACCGACTCCATACTCCATCCCTCCCCCCTCTTCCGCTATTTCGCTGATGCAACGATAGTGATGAAGAATATTATCTCTTTTGGAGGGTGAATTCTGCGGCCTTTGCCACCAGCTCCCACCCACACTCAATGAAAACGAACGGGACGGCTGGGTGACTCTTTTGGGGGCTATTAAACGGGATAATGGGAGGAAAGTATAGTACTTTATGGAAATAGCATTTAAGTCATACTTTCAAGGCATTTGAATACCGCACATATCATAAATCAAAGACAGTTTCGAGCAACTTTTATGGAAATAGCATTTCGAGAAAGATAGCCCTCTTGAATTTCGATACCTAGATAATTTTAGAAACACAGAAATATATATTTGAATTAGATTCCAGGTTTTAAGCTAAGTTCGATACATTATACCCCTTTGAATATTTAGACTGATGCGGCATGACATTAGCAAAATTAAGAAATTTAAAATTTTTCAATTTTTAGTAGGACTGTATTGAAATCAGTTAAAAGCGCTAAAAATGATACTCTAGCTTTTCGGAATCTATCTACGATTTTTGTAATCTTCCGAAATCTTGATAAATTTTCCTTTTTTGAGGTTTTTAACACCTAAAATATGCCACCCACTTTGCATAGTTTAACCCGTTATCTAGAGTTTATAAAATAATAAATAATAGATACTGTAGCTAGCTATGGATGGTTTATCTAGAAACTCATCTACCATAATTAGCATGTTTGTTTTTAATTTTTAGATAGATTTAGAACTTTTTAATTAACACCCCTCTGCAGCTCGGCTCGTTTATGTAATTCCCTACCAGGCCCGCCTATTCACTTTTGTTTGGCGGCAATCTGCACAAAATGCGCTAATTTATGGGGTGCGCGGATTACGCTAGGTGGGGGCTGATGCCAAAAAGGGGTGGATTTGTTTCAAGGCAGGGATCTGGGTCGTTTAATTGAGAACGAGGGCTACAAACCATGGAGGTTAAAGTTTTGCACGCTCTAGGTAGCGTTAAAACGTCATTATTCTAGTTTTTCCGAGGTAAGGAGCTTTTCTTAATGCCTCTGCTTTTCCCTCCGGAAAAGGGACATCAATTTACCCTCCATCAATTCTATTTCCGGTTCCCGATTTTGAGTTAGAACCGGGTTTTCCTGAAAGAGTTGTATGTGGGTGTATCTCTCTCTCTCTCCCTCTCACTCACGCTGTTGTTCTTCGGCTCCTTCTACATCTGCTACTGGTCCTCCTTCTTCCACCTGAAGGTCCCTGAGGGCTTACACGCCCGAACGAAATGGGAAAAGTTGCCCCGTCTTCGTCCCCTTTACCCTCCCCTCTCCTTGGTCTTCCGGCTGAAAAGAGGGAATAATGACTAATTAAAATGACAATTCATTTTTCTCACCCATCCGCCCCTTCATCCCAGCGGACGGGACTCGGTCAGCCGCTTCAAATTAAGCAATTCCAAGTCTTCTCTCTTCATCCCGGTGTTGGGTGAGGGAGGGGAGGAGGAGAGCTGCTGCTCCTCGCTGGGGCCCATCACCAATTCCTCCATTTCCCTGTTTTTTAGTTGAAGATATGGGGGGGCATCGTCGTTATTAGGAACGGGAGGGGACGTTGCCGGCTGAAACTAAACTCAAAACTTGTTGGGGGTTCATAGAATGTTTCTTATAGTGCTCATGCTCCTGAATTCCAACTATGTAAAAAGTTGTTGATTGTATTGTGAACACCAGGAAGCCTTTAGGCTTAGGATTTTGGCTAGGCTTCGGTTCAAGCCTAGGCTTGGGCTTACTTTTTGACGTAGGCTAGGTTTAGGCTTAGGTTTCGACTTCGACTTGGGCTTAGTCATCGGCTTAGGCTTAGGCTTATGCATAGGCATAAGTTTAAGCTTAGGTTTAAACTTAGTCCAGCTGAATTCCAAAACAATACGTTCCACGTTTTTCCTAAGGGTCAAAATGTTCGATTAATAATTCTGAACCTAAAGACGTCTCAAGAGTATTTTTTACATGAAATAAATGCCATAAATAACGAATTTTTGCTTGTTTCCATTCACTTTTCTCAACGAGTCACATTTTTGACCTCCCCTCGTCCAATTCACCCCAAAAATTCTAAATTAACCACCCCAATAAGCGATCTTTGCTCCTCTACGCTTCCCCCAAAAAAACCGCATTATAGCATCCACACAAAAGGCGACATTTCGCTCTATTTCCCATTTTTGCGTTATTATTTGGTTGGCATTCTTATCAAACAAAGCCATATTTTTGCAGTTGGTCAGTTATTCTACGATTCTAGGATGCGTAAATCACGGCGCTGGCCTCTCTAAATTTTCTCAGTCCCCAAATTCAACGAATATTTTCGGGAGTCCTTTTTCTACCCCCCGGGTTTCATAGGTTGCCCCCTCTGCAAGGTGCTCTCAAAATTCTAAATTAGTTCCCGTGGGCGGCCGTAGCGGCCGGAACTACCCGGGTATCATTGCAAAAAAATGAGCCTGAAATTGAGCGCGGCCAAAACATACACAGTGCAGGGCGGGGCCGGGGGTTGCAATCTGGTTCTTTGAATCTTGAGATGTACTAAAATAGTTTGATTTTATTTTTGTTATTACTATTCTAAAGTTTCTATTCTATATTATTGATTCTTTTGCCTTTTTAATTAACTGAAAAACCAATAAAAACTTTTAGAAGCCAACCGACCCTACGCTACGATGCATTCGACAGTAAGTGTTTTTGAACGTTATACTGTCAAAAAAATCATAATATAAATACTGGTATAAGCGGTAATCTACCAATAATAATAATTAAATTATATTTATATATTAATTTAAGGTATTCTTCATTGTTGTCCATATGACAATCACAATGTGTCTGGCTGTCGGCGGCAATCTTTTTATGATTTTCGTCATTTGGAGGGGAAATCGGGCGGCGAGGAGGAGGATATCGCCCGTTCAGGTATTTTAAAAATATCTTTTAAAAAGCAAATCATCACTTTTAATTCAGTTTCTTCTACTTCATACTTGCGCCGCCGACTTGCTGTTTGCTCTGTGTTGTCTAGGGACTGAAATTTTATTAATGCTGATCTATCCGTTTCAAGGTTCCGCCTGGTTGTGTAAGGTAGGCAATAGAATATTTTACAAGATTAATATACCCCTAAAAACATACAAAAAAGCATACATTTTTATTCACAAAAACCTTACTTTTAGGCCATCCGCTACACCCAAATGGTACCTCTCTACGCTAGCCCTTTCCTCCTAGTAGCGATAAGTGCCGATCGATATCAGGTAATTCAAAAATTAAACTTTTAAGTTAGTAAATTTAATTTTGTAGGCAATTTGCCGACCACTAGCTCATTACCGTCGAAATCGATACAAGATCCCGACCTATCTGGCGATCTGCGCTTGGGCCCTGGCGCTGATCTGCTCTATTCCACAAGTTTTCATTTGGGGAAAGTTTGGGTAAGTTTTCATTAAAATTTTATTACGTTAAATTTAGCAAAAACCAACAATGCGCCACTTTTTACGGCCATGGAACGTCGATCATAAAGAGTGTATATGTCGTAGGTATGCTGTGAAAATTTTTTTATCGGAGAATATTAAGGTTTTCCGCTGAATATTGCGTAGGCTTAGGGTTAGGCGATGGCTTAGGCTTGGCTTAGATATAGGCTTACGCTTAGGCTAAGGATTACGTTTAGGTGTTGGTTTAGGCTTAGGCTTGAGCTTAGGCTTAGGCTTAGACTTCGACTTATGGTTAGCTTAGGTTTAGGTTTGGGCTTAAGTTTGGGCTTGGATTCAGGCTTAGGTTTAGGCTTAGGCTTAGGCTTAGTCAGAGGCTATAATGTCAAAAACCAAAGCCGAAAATCGAAAATAATTTTTTTTGCAGCCTTCAACACAATCGCCTGGCTTCTCCCCTCAATCATGGCCGGCTGGTTCTACTATAAAGTTTGTAAAGCCGTCTGGATGTCTTATAATTCACGACCTCAACTCGATCTGACAACAGCCCGTACGAGCCAATGTGACAGGTGTAACATCATTGAATTAAAAATAATCATAAACTAATAAATATTATAACAAATTAATAATCCTAAATTAAAATATTAAAATATTAATTACCTATGAAAATTCAGCACCGAGACTGAAAACTACGTCACGCGACTCCGAAAGAAATCCTGTGGAATTAGGCGTCAAACGTCAGGTATTTTTTTGTGTAAGTAGAATAAATCCTAACAACTTTCAGAATTCGACCGAAAACGTATGCAAACCGTGCGACTTACGCTGACAATTATCGCGTGCAATTTCTTCCTCTGGGCCCCGTTCTGTGTGGTGAATGTGCTGCAAGCAAATGCACCCAGTCTATTGAGTACCCTTACCTATAATTTTCACATTACAACCATTTTACCAGGCCCGTCACTAATGGTGTACGTCGTAGTGTTGGGGAATTTGAATTCATGCGTGAACCCGTGGATTTACATCCTGTTTAACCGATCACACGTCCATCGCGCGTTCTGCGGCGCGTCGAAGAGTGGTAAGTTGTTTCTTTTGAACAAATATTTAAAGTTCTATCTCAATTGGCGCTTTTGCATTATCGGGGCGGGGGTCGATTCTTTGTTTTAGTTTAGAAATGTCTAATAACTTAATAAGAAATGTTTAACAGTGTTTTCAGTAAACGCTAGCTTAATATTCACGAAAAATACCATCGAAAAACTTTTAAAAACGCTTAAAAACTCGAAATTTTGCTCAAGAATCGGCCATTTTTGATCGAAAATTGATATGTTCGATATTTTTTCAATCAAAAGTTTTCAACCTTTCACGTTAAGGAATAGTAAAAAGCGTTTCGAAATACTTCCACTATTTATATCGGAAAAAGTAGCATCTAAGAAAAACGTAGGTCCCCCCGCCCCCGATAATACGAAAAAACCATTACTTCAACGATTTTCAAAAAGAAAAATAGTTAGTGCAATAAATACAAGCCTCTTTTTCACTTAAAAAATTCCTCAATCCTTCTGATTAACTCTAAACAACAAACAACACTTCTTAGCCGACAAACCGCGCGCCAAGCCAATTATCTTTACGACCGGCCTGCAGCAGAAAACCGCCAGAGATCTCTCATATAGCCAAAGTAAAGCCGTGAAATTTGCATGACCAACCCATTTCAAACACTATCTCGCGCTTATCCCAGCTTAAAATGCTCGCCACTTTTTAAGCAGCTTTTACTACATTCTGTTCGGCTTTTCTTGGAACCATTTCCCCCATTCTGCTTTTAATTTAAACCAATGCTTCCTGTCAAAATGCAAAATTTCCGTCGGTTTAACGCCACTATGATTTATTTAAAGGTTTCCTAGGGTTGAACCGCTTTTGTCTATTTTTAAATACCTAAAAACGTACTTAAAATGCGGTTCAATTATAGGAAAAGCACTAAAATACCGATGACGCAAAATTAAAAAATTTAGGATCGACCACATATTCTTCCTGTAGTCGCATGGGTACTACAAATGGCATATCAGAATTATCCGACGCTGTAGTCAGCAATACACACAAGGTACCTTAACTAAAGCTTATTTGGAACTTTCAGGTAACTTTAACAAAAATTACTTTCAGAATAGCTGCACGACCACGACCCGCGTTTCTGCCACCACCGAAACATCTGCCCTCGTTATTGTACCTCAAGAAAAACGGAAAAGCCGTATGTATAATTTGTAAAGAATAAGCTCATTTCTGCAGGGAGAAGCCGTAAGAATATCAAGCGCGCACGTTCGATTTGCGTGACAAAAGATGAAAAGCGGGCCCTACTCGAAAAGCAGAATCCGCCTCCTTCCTAGAAATGATATTACAGGATCATCATCTGTCAAAAAAGCGTACCCTGTTTAGCAATCTTCTGGAACTGTGATATAATGTTCAACTGTCCAATAAAGTCATTTCTGACCGAGATAGACACAAAGAGAGAGAGAGTGAGAGAGAGAACAGATACACACATCAACGTCAAAAAGATTTTAGCTTTTCGTGTTCTAGATGAACGTATGCTTCCCATAACGGATTTCCGATTTATTTCATTATTTTGCAGCCTCAGAAAGAAAAGTCGCGCTTTTTACTAAGTAAAATATTTTAGGCGATATACCAACCTTTGTTCCTAAACCCCCCGAATCACGATCTAATCCCATCACCGCTCGTTAATGCTCTGTTAGTATCAAACCAGACCCTACATCTTAGGCTTAGGCTTAGGCTTAGGCTTAGGCTTAGGCTTAGGCTTAGGCTTAGGCTTAGGCTTAGGCTTAGGCTTAGGCTTAGGCTTAGGCTTAGGCTTAGGCTTAGGCTTAGGCTTAGGCTTAGGCTTAGGCTTAGGCTTAGGCTTAGGCTTAGGCTTAGGCTTAGGCTTAGGCTTAGGCTTAGGCTTAGGCTTAGGCTTAGGCTTAGGCTAGGCTTGGGCCTAGGCTCAGGCTTAGGCTTAGGCTTAGGCCTAGGCTTAGGCTTAGGCTTAGGCTTAGGCCAGGCTTAGGCTTAGGCTTAGGCTTAGGCTTAGGCTTAGGCTTAGGCTTAGGCTTAGGCTTAGGCTTAGGCTTAGGCTTAGGCTTAGGCTTAGGCTTAGGGCTTAGGCTTAGGCTAGGCTTAGGCTTAGGCTTGGGCAGGCTTGGATTCAGGCTTAGGCTTAGGCTTAGGCTTGGAGCAGGCTTAGGCTTAGGCCTGTAGCTTAGGGCTTAGGCTTAGCTCAGGCTTAGGCTTAGGCTTAGGCTTAGGGCTTAGGCTTAGGCTTAGGCTTAGGCCTAGGCTTAGGCTTGGGCCCAGCTTAGGCTTAGGCCTAGGCTTAGGCTTAGGCTTAGCTTAGGCCTAGGCTTAGGCTTAGGCTTGGGCTTAGGCTTAGGCTTGGGCTTAGGCTTAGGCTTAGGCTTAGGCTTAGGGCTTAGGCTAGCTTCAGGCTTAGGCCCAGGCTTAGGCTTTAGTGGCTTGGAAGCAGGCTTAGGCTTAGGCTTAGGCCTAGGCTTAGGCCTAGGCTTGTGCTTAGGCTTACGGCCCAGGCTTAGGCTTAGGCTTGAGGCTTAGGCTTAGGCTTAGGCTTAGGCTTAGGCCTAGGCTTAGGCTTAGGCTCAGGCTTAGGCTTAGGCTTAGGCTTAGGCTTAGGCTTAGGCTTAGGCTTAGGCTTAGGCTTAGGCTTAGCTTAGGCTTAGGCTTAGGCTTAGGCTTAGGCTTAGGCTTAGGCTTAGGCTTAGGCTTAGGCTTAGGCTTAGGCTTAGGCTTAGGCTTGGGCTTAGGCTTAAGCTTAGGCTTAGGCTTAGGCTTAGGCTTAGGCTTAGGCTTAGGCTTAGGCTTAGGCTTAGCTTAGGCTTAGGCTTAGCTTAGGCTTAGGCTTAGGCTTAGGCTTAGGCTTAGGCTTAGGCTTAGGCTTAGGCTTAGGCTTAGGCTTAGGCTTAGGCTTAGGCTTAGGCTTAGGCTTAGGCTTAGGCTTGGGCTTAGGCTTAGGCTTAGGCTTAGGCTTAGGCTTAGCTTAGGCTTAGGCTTAGGCTAGGCTTAGGCTAGCAATGTTTGAGCCATAGTGTTTCAGTCAGGCTTAGGCTAACAGGCCTTCTGCTTAGCCCAGGTCCCGTCACTCAGGCACAGGGTTTAGCCTGGTACTTAGGTCAGCCAAAGAAACAGAAATACAAATAAGCGTCAGCTCAAACAGTCAGTGTCATTAGGCTCATTAAATAAGCCAGCCAGCTGAGCAGCCTAATACTAAGTTTCACTTTAATAAATAAATAGTTTAAATGTACTATACTAGTTAACAAACAGTTTCAGGCCAGTTTATTTTAATGAGGGTTTACAAACAGTTTATGTTTACAAACAAAGTCTGAAACAGCCAGCCTACTAGTTTAGTTCAGCTATGCTCTGTGCTCTGTAGCTTCTGAACAGCAACAGGTTTTTAGCCTCCTATGCCTTTAGGTGCTTTAGCCAAATGCAAAGTTTGTTTTCATGTCTGTTTGTGGCTCAGGCTAGCTCAGCTAGGCCTACTATGCCAGTCAGGCAGGCCAGGCCTAAAACAGTCTTGAAAGCTTCGCGCCTAGCGTACAGCCTGCGTCAGCTATGCCGTGCCGTCAGCAGGTCGCCTCACAATAGTTTAACAGCCTTAGTTTAACAGGTCGCATTCAGGCTCATGCCTGAGTTCGTGTCAGCTTGAAAAATACAATATGTCAGTTCAGCCAACACGCTCAAACAATGCCATGCCTAACAACAGGTCAGCCAGCCACTTTTGTTTGAATATTTTTGGGGTTAAAACCGTCAGCTGAATTTAGCTGAACAACACTTTGTACTCAGTCTTCGAATGAGTTCTGGGACAAACAAAATAACAGGTCAGGTTAAGCAGGGCTACTCGAAAGGCCAGCTTATACTATGTCACTGTCGCTCTAAAACAGCTCGTCGTCAATGTCATACCAGCTGTCGCAGCCAGTTTTCATCAGCTCTCATCAGCTCGTCAAATCATCTGTCAACAGTTCGCTGGTCGGCTCGCGCCGCCAGCGCTGACGCTGTTGATGCGCTTTTCAACCAAGAGTCGATCTTCTCCGATCAACGCCATCTGTTCAAGTCCATAATGATAAGTCTTCCTGAAAGAAAGCACTCATGAGCCACCAATAGTCAGCGCTTCGACAACTGATTTAATGAGGTTAACAACACGCCACTGGCAAAGAACTTTAAACCGTCCAGTTTCATTGAGAGAAGTAAGGGGTAAGTAAACAGACGTACTAACCATAAGCAAACCTAGTGGGAACTGACAGCCAAACAAATATTGAGCTACGGAACGCGAATTCAGCAATGAACGACTGTACGCCTATTTGTCAGTACTGATCGCTTATTCGTGTCTATGCCCATTATCGCAATATCAAAGAGTCGCCCGATCGACGTACGTATGATAAAAACGTCATAGGCTGATACGTGGGCCACAGCAACCATCAGATAAAGAGAAAAAACTCATCCCGCTTAATGTTTTCTCCAAGTCAGGTCACACAATAAGTTACAATATATAAATCAAACAGCTCGTCCGTT